ACGAGATCGCGGGTACAAGCGGCCGAGATGGGTTTTCTCCGCAGGGTGGCTGGTGTCTCCCTTAGGGATAAGGTGAGAAGTTCGGTCATCAGGGAGGGACTCGGAGTTGAGCCGCTCCTCCTTCGCGTCGAAAGGAGCCAGTTGAGGTGGTTCGGGCACCTAGTTAGGATGCCACCTGGGCGCCTCCCTAGGGAGGTGTTCCAGGCACGTCCAGCTGGGAAGAGACCAAGGGGTAGACCTAGAACCAGATGGAGGGATTATATCTCTTCGCTGGCCTGGGAGCGCCTTGGGATCCCCCAGTCAGAGCTGGTTGATGTGGCCAGGGAAAAGAAAGTTTGGGGCTCTCTGCTGGAACTGCTACCTCCGCGACCCGACCACGGATAAGCGGGAGAAGATGGATGGATGGATGGACCCTAAAAGTATAAAATGGGGATCACCTCAAAAGGAGGACAAATGAGCGTCCGGCTCAAGGCTGCGCCGGCAGAGTACTATTAGGTCTGGGTCTCCGTGTTTCATTAAAGCTCGGCTCTGTGTGTGTGTGGAACGAGCCATTTTGTGTGCGTGCACGAGCGAGAGAGAGCGCACCGGTACCGGAGATCGATGGCAGGTTTTGTAGGCCCCCTATTTAAACAACAAATCAAAGTCATTTATAGCCTCGGCAGGCTCTGTGATCAAACACACACACACACACACCACTGTTTGAGCACCATGAACAGCAACATATGGCCTCAATGCCAGGTATCAGTAGATGAGAATGATCAGTAGATGAGAATGATCATTATCTCCGGTGGATTAACACAAACCTAGTTATTTAAAACGATGCACAACACATTTAAACCTGCAGGCTACTGGGAATCAATGAACAGTGCAGCATTGCCTTATCTCTTTAGCAGTGCTTCCGAAAAAGCCTTTATGATGTTCTTAAAATCCATCTCACGAAGAATGTCATGCTCAATTGACATCAGTGTTAGGTTTCCTTTTCCGAGCACCACTCTCAAACTTTTTCTTCTCCGAAATTGTCTCCTAAACAACCTTCATCTGTCAATCAATCACTCGCAATTTGAATAAGTCACATGTGAAACATATTCTCATTCTGATTGGCTGTTAAGTGGTGCCCACTGACTGTTACGGAGTCATCATTTTTGAGAAAAATCTCTGGAATCCAACGATCTGATTGATTAGCGGAGCAAATGATCAAAAACGTATGGAGGGAAGATATTTTAGTTTGGATTACTGGTCTGGGGGAAGCTCGCGAGTGTGTGTGTGCGTGTATATACGTGTGTGTGTTTGTGTATTTTTGCGTTTGTTTCCCGGGGAAAACACTCACGAGAAACACTGGCTGTTGTTATGCTTGCTGTGACATTAAATTACTCCGTTCTCCGCTTGTAATTATGCCGTTACAAGCTTCAAAGTTATATTTATCATCTGAATTTGCAGAAACAAGTTTAATATTCTGAAAGCCAAGACTTTGTTTATTTGAAATTAGATGAAAACAAACTGTAACGGACCCTGCCGTGTTATCTATGATTACTATGCCTGACATTCATAATTTCAGCGGAGGGAGGGGGAGCGGCGCTGTGGAACAGCAGAGTGGCGAGGGAGAGCTGTCTTCTTCCCTTTACAACAGGGGTGGGGAACCTTTTTCCAACATCCTCCGAGGGCCGTACAAATTATTGACCTCTGCTTAAAAATACTAAAATCACAGCCCATTCATTTCGCCTTTCTTTCATGCTGTGCAAAGAAAAAGCAACCTCTTAATCCAGATATTTTACCATGACCCGCGCATGCATTCACGTGCACGGTTGTGGCATGACCACCAAAACAGAAAGATATGGACACAAGATGTGTGCAAATTTATTTAGTTTCCTATCCATGTGAACATGATTTGAGTGGGGGGGGGGACCTAACCTCCTCTTGGGGGGTCCGGGGGCATGCTCCCCCGGGAAGATTTTTTTTAAATGTTGAAGTTAAAAGCATCAATCTGGTGCACTTTGAGAGCAACATTAGGAGATCTATGGATACATCTCTCAACATTCATATGAAACAGAACTGTAAGCAGATTTCTTTTTTTTAATGGATATTTTATAAATCACTCCTTTTAAACTGTATTCTTGTTTATTAATAACAACTTTTTTTTTACTGTCATATAGTATTTTATACCCATTTACTTTATTCTCTTATTTTTTTTATAACTATAATGATCATGTAAAGATGTGCCTTTACCTCACTGGTTGGAGAAAAAGCTTCTTATATTCGTTAGCATAACTAGCTAACCAGATGCTAATAACAACACAGTTATTGACTGTCTGTATGATCAGTATGACAGATAAACAGATCGCCACTGGGCTTACAACTAAAGACACAGCCACGCAAAAACTGCGGCATGTGTACGGCTCCTTATGGGTACTGCAATTTTTGGAAGTGCCGGAGCCGCGTTCTCGTGCTCTCCGTCAGCACTACACCCCTGTCAGACGAGACATATACCACGTGATGACACGTTAGGCTCGTGTTGTGTTCAAGGACCCTGACATTGGCCAGGAAAATCAGGCACTCGCTCGCAAATGTATTTGCGGTCTAGATTTCTTAATTTTGTTTCTTTTTTACGTGTGTTTATAAATTACCTTGAGGGCCGTACCAAATTGTCTCGCGGGCCGTATACGGCCCAGGGGCCGCAGGTTCCCCACCCCTGCTTTACAAGCTTCAAAAATGTATTTATCATGTGATTTTGGAAATAAAAGTGTCATATTATGAAAGCTAAGACTTTGTTTATTTAAAATAAAACACCCAAAATAAAAAGATTTAATTTGAATTTTTTATTTATTTTTATTGGCTCATCATAGGCCCCCGATCTCCGTAGGCCCCTGGGCTTCAGCCCAGGTCAGCCCGTGCATTAAGGCGGCCCTGGCTACGGCTATTGGGCCAATTCCACCAATCAGGAGGAGACAGCCACGGACATTGTCGTTCGAAAGCACTGGAGACGCTGTAGTACATATGCCAGGCCTGTAGATGGTGCTGTTCTCACAGAATCAGCCCATGCAAAGACAGTGTTAAATTGAGCGAAATGAGGAATGGCTAAAATGCATGATCTGTTTGGTATTTTGAAAAATAAAAAGTATAAATATGCCTTATATAGGTATGGTCCTACACTATATTATTCAAATATAGCATGATAGCTCCACTTTAAGTTAAAGCCTTCCGATTTTTATTTATTTGCTTTGCATTTGATATCGAGGTAAAGGTTACTGAATCTTTTTTTTTTACATGTAATTAGTGATTATAACGGACTACATTATTCAAGTAACCCTCCCAACCCTACAAATAAGCATGTGGGTAGCAGTAAATCATGCTAAACAACACACATGTTACAACACTGAACCCACCTTTGACCAGAGTGTGTTTGTCTGTCGGTGAGGAACGAGCCAGCACGCGCAGTTTAGGCCAAACTTTGTCCAGACGCTCTTGTTCCACCTAGAAATGCAAATCAATAAAATAAGACTCTCAGCAACAAGAGTAATGTAATGTTTTAGTGTTTGATCGTTACGTGTGTACATGCCCTAGGACTGCAGATGGAAATGAGCTAATGGCACAAATCTGGCATAGATAATCTTTTCTCTTTTCGTGATGAATGTATCATTATGCATGGACCTTGTTCGATAAAGATATAGTAATAATAAACATAAACATCTATGCACGTGGCTCACCTCTCCCTGGTCGTTTCTGATCTGCTGGTTGAACTCTTTGCCCTCCATACACAGGAAGTCCTCCCCGGGCAGCAGGATGCCACACTTGATGGCGATGGCGCGGGCGGTGTTGATGTTGTCTCCGGTCACCATGCGCACAGTGATGCCGGCACGCTGGCACTTAACGATAGCATCAGGTACCTGGAAGAGTGTCAGAGAAGATATGTGAAACGAGCTCAGATGTTCAGAGGAACAGCCAGGTTCTCTTCCTGATTCATGCATCTGTTTAAAGGTTATTTAAAGAAAAGCTCCTCACCTTAAAACCAGTGCTGCAACTAACGATTATTTGTATTATCCATAGACTGTATATAGGTATTATCGATAAATCTGACCATTATTTTCTGGATTATTCAATTAATCATTTGGTGTAGAAAATCCCAAATGTCTCGAAATCTTCCCTTTCTGCTGCTGTCAGCCTGTGTCATCAGCACTGGTGTCAGTAGACCGCACATACTAATGCATCTTTTATTTATTTATTCATGTGCCATATGTGCAATACAATACACTGTGTAATATAATTGCGGATGGAAATTAGCTCAAAGTTAAATCTGGCACTGTTACGCTTGATACATTTTAATGTTTTAAGTGTTCATTACTGTGCATTGTCCCTGCCAAATAAACGATTACATAAAAAAATAATACATTACTGTATATGTGCAATAATTTAAATTCAATGTCAATTTTTGCGTACTTATATATTATATGATATACTGTATGTACCTTTGTACCTGCTTGTTGTAGTCCCTTTGCTGCTGTAACACAGCACATCTCCCAGTTGTGGGACTAAAGAAGGGTTATCTTATCTGATGTCTTGAAATGTCTTGTTTTGTCAGGCCAAAACACAAGGACATTCACTTTAAGATGAAACACCACAAAAGACCCGGAAAAAACCCTTACTTAAGAAGATGAAAAAATTACTTTTAACGACCATCACAGTTGTCCATTACGTTTGAGTCGATCGACTGCAAAGCATTTCATCTCTACTTAAAACTGCATTCCTTAGACTGGTTTATTAAACTGAAGTGCTGCATGATAAGACAGATCTAGAATCAGATTTTCAGACAGCAACATGTGGAACCACACAGGCTCTGCACAGTGGCTGCTCTTTGTCCTAACAGAGACCTCATTCATCTCAGATAACAGAATGAATGAGACAGACATCTGTGAAGAGTCTGTGGTGACATGACGGTCAGTGGACAATCAGAAAGCAGCCTCCTCTGCTCAGCGGGGGGTCAAATGACATTTGATGGAGAATAACAGGAGTTCTGTGTTACTTGCACAAACACACATATGTTTGATTCACCTCAGTGCAGGGGTTACTCATTATTAATCACAGGTTTAAAATACTAGTTTTGACTTATAAAAGATAAAACAGATACCTGTATGGTATTGTAATAAAGAAATGATTGACAGATGATATTATTTAGTAGCCAACTGGGTCTGGGTCAAACTTGGTCATTTGAATCATTCTTTTTTTGTGACAGCCTTAGTTTATGGCATTCATCTGGTTACGTCTTTATTTGTTTTTACAATTAACAGTATTTTATTTCACTTTTAATTTGATCTTATTCTATTTTAGATGTATCAATCAATCAAAGTGTATTAATATAGCACAATCAGACATTTTAGATTTGTCTCAGGGAGCTTTACAGTTTTTACAGAATACATATGAATATGAATCCGGCCTCCTCTGTTCTATAGACCCTCACATTGGACAAGTCAAAACTTCAGAAGAAACCCCCCAGTTAATGGGGAAATAGAAGAAACCTCAGGGAGGGCAACAAATGTACTGTATATACTTGACTTATTTCTGCATTAACTTGCACATTGGTCTCAACATCGTCTTGCACTACTTTATTTTTATTTCTGTTTCTATTGCACTATTTCGTATTGTTTTGTGCCCTATGTATATTCATGTTGCATTGTTGGAGGAGCCTGTTATATGACTATGACTATAGATAGACAATAAAGCCTTTGAATCTTTGAATCTTCAATGTGCTCCACCAGGAAAGAAACCTGCCAGGTGAAACAATGGTTGGTGGGGGGTTCTTTAGGATGGGTCAATTGTCACACTCACACAGTGAGGCAAATGTTCTAACCTGGAAAATAAAGTATATCGTATCGTAATGTAAGAAGTAGGGGGGCTGATTCGGGCTGCTTTATTGAATGGTTGTTGTGTGTTGTCTCTGGAAATTGAACAGTTGCTACACTGTTTGAAAGTGGAAGTAGACCCTTTCAGGTCACAGAAAAATGTACAATGTTTCATGAATATGTAAATTCATTTAGTTTACATATTCGTGTATGCCTAAATAGCTAAAATATCAATTTGGTGGCATCACATGTTGTTTTTGGATAACTGTGGATCTGCTGACTGTCTCCTGCTGCGCTCCAGTTATTTCCATCCTGCGTGTGTTCTTTGTTCTCTGACATTAAAGCAGCAGGCAGCATCACTGATGTTGTCTGAGCTTCATTACTTCATTTAACACTTCAGAGCATTCGCACACCTGACCACGACTACCTTCAGTGTCTCTGTTTGGAGAAAACTGTTTGTTTATCTCACCCCATTGACGCGCTATAGAACACTTTCCCCCTCTCCTTATAACACTAATATAATGAGCAGCGAGTCAGATCAGTGAAGTAACACTCTTGGCTTCATGTTCTCCTCTGTTCTTTCAGAAATAAAATCAACTTAGTCACTCCACGTTATGCCTACAGTGTGTGCATTTCAAGCTAAACCAAAGTCATTTAAGTACTAGCTAAAAGAAAACGTTATATATCACTGATTGTTGACCATAAAAAGCTCACACAGACTGGACAGGCAATGGTGATGTTGCAATGCCAATACACAGTACAGTGTTTCTCAGACCCAATTTATCAGATTGTGTTGTGCAAAAATAAAGATAGATGTTGAGAACCTTATGGTTAGCCTAATATTTATATAAGGATATACATGTAGACTCTAGAGCTCTCCCTAAATATCTAACATGATGTTTTCTAGGGATCTTTTGTCTCTTTCAGTGGAGCTGAGTTACACATAGCTCCTCTTTATTTTGAACCCTTATATCATTTATTTAAGGATGAGTATGCTCATCTTCAGGTTCATATGTGTATGTAGTGCCTCTACTGTGACATGTCTACATGCTTTAATATCCTAAAAGCTCTTTCATTTTCTCACACTGCCTGTGCTGCAGCACCTCTTTTCACCCTCTGTCTGAAACCAGAGCCCAGTCTGCTCTGATTGGTTAGCTGGCCAGCTCTGTTGTGATTAGTCAATCACTTAGAGATGTCCCGCCCCTTAGCCTATCACGTACAATGTGCTGGAGCTCTAACCAATGGAAGCGCAAGTGTTACAGTGCTCCTTCTGGAGGGAACCTTGGGATTTGAACCTTTGCAGACATTTACATGCACAAAAAAAAAAAGATATCACACTACAGGAAAGGGGCAAACCCAAAAAGCATGATAGTGCCTTTTTAGGACTGATCCCTACTAAGGCTGCATTCACACCAAGTCAGGTTATGTGGCGAAAAATCCAATCCTCTCCCTTAGTTCCATTCAAATTAGGCAAAAGTCTAGATGCTGAAAACTACTTAAAGATGAACCGATGGTGAAATATGATGTTTTCTGAAGCCACTTCAATAATACCCCTAGTCTCCAGACATTTACATAACCCAGTGTCAGTGTGAACTACTTTTCCGGTGGATATCTGCGTGGGTGGTGTGAGGTTTCTTCTGTACCTCAGGTCTGACGGGGTCCTCGATGCCGACAACCACGATGCAGGTGAGTTCGTTCAGGATTTCGTTCTCATTTTCCCAGTTGGGCTCTCCGGCCTCGGCGGGGAAGTCCCTGTACGCCACGCAGATGGTCCTCAGCCCGTCGCACGCCATTGGCTCAATCACCTTGCGCACCATCTCGTCACGGTCCTTAGGCTTGAAGACGCGGGGCTGACCCTGGGTGTCCAAAATACGAGAGCATCTGGGAGAGGAGAGGGAGGGAGGAGCTCATTAAGGGTAAAATGTCATTGATCGACAGCTCTTCCCTCAGACTGGGGAAAACGATCACTAATTATAATTATTTTCAGTTTATTTGTTCTCTTTTCTTACTTCCTCAGGACGATCTCCGACGCCCCTTTGCTGTACATGCGGAAACCTCCATCAGCGTTCTTCAGCACCGTGCTCATGGACTTGCGGGAGGAGTTGAAGGTGTAAACCTTGTAGAGTTTTTCCTCTGGGACCTCGTCTCTGATTGGCTGGTAGTCCCTCTTGAGCTGCAGCACCATGCCCAGCAGAGCGCACTCCGTCTTGTTGCCAACGTGGCGAGGCAGGCCTCCTTCTTTCTCCGGAGGCTGAGGAGGGACAAAAGCATTGGGTGTAATGTTTAGAATTGTATCATTATCAGGCAACATTAACACTACTTCTGCATGTACAGATGTGTTTGATTTGAAAGGTTGTTAGTCCACAAGTTTTAAGTCAGAAGAGAACAGAAGCTAACCTGGATCTGAAAACTTGTCTTATTTTCAGATCCTTTTACAATTCTCTAAAAAAAACAAAATGTCCCGAACTAAGAGCTTCTGGTTCTTCTGAACACTGTTGCTGTTCCTGATTAATAACACCTTCAGAGAGCAGATTATATCAGCTGCAGCTATTTCACATGAATTTACTGTTCACTAAAGCTCTCACTAAACTAATCAACTGTTCATGTCTGTAAGCCAAGTCAATCTATTCTGTTTTCTGTTGAAGGGAAACCATTTGAATTTGCCCTGTTAATGTAGCTTACATGTTTATGTTGACTGGTTGTAAAGTTAAGCAAGTCTTTAATGCTAAATAAATGGTTAACCACCACTCAAAAACTGGGGAAAAATTGAAAAGGGATACATTTAGAGTCTATTTGCATGCCAACTTAAAAGGTAAAGCCTTAAGAAATTGATCTGCCAGGTCTTTGAGGATAAGGTTTAGGTTATTAAAGGAAATCTTTAAAATATCCTACCAAATGAAGATCGACTTTTGACCTTGTTGAGATTATTGTTAAAACCCATTTTGTCCATGTCTTACTTCTTATAAGGCCTGTTTTTTTTCTACCATTGTGTCTTTATTGAATATAGAGAACAGGTTGATTAGAAAGGGGGGAGAAAGAGGGGACGACATGCATCAAGTATCTTTTTTAGACTGGATTTGATGGATAAGGTTACATGTTTGTTAGTGTTGTGGTTGTTGGTTGCTGTGACAGTGAAGGTCTCACCAGGATCTTGGTGGTGTAGGCCGAGTTGATGGAGATGCTGTTGACCATAACTTCCAGAGTCTCTGGTTTGATGGCATCGGGCTCGGGGACAGTTTTGAAGTGCGTGTCGTTGACGTAGGCCTGCACCACCGTCATGCGGTTCATGGTCAGCGTGCCTGTTTTGTCCGAGCAGATGGCAGTAGCGTTGCCCATGGTCTCACAGGCGTCCAGGTGACGCACCAGGTTGTTATCCTTCATCATTTTCTAAAATACAAACAGCGAAGTTAAAGGCTGAGATTTGCATTTGGACTTTGTTATTTAAACACAACATGACTCGTAGTTATCAAATCCTACACTTACACGATTCTTTGGGGGTTTGAATCCATTTATCTTACATTTCCCATAATCTTACCTTAACGGAGTAAGCCAGAGAAATGGTGACGGCGAGCGGCAGACCCTCAGGGACGGCCACCACCAGCACGGTCACGCCGATGATGAAGAATTTTACGAAGTACTGGATGTAGATGGGGGTGCACTCGGACGTCCAGGATTGGCCCTGGACCGCGAAGGTGTCGATCACAAAGTAGAGGATGAGGATGATGACGGTCAAAGCCGACATGATCAGACCTGGTGACAAGAAGAAGAGTTTAAACACAAGTCCTTTTTCATGGCAAATCTTTTACTATGTAAGGGACAACTGGTTTCAAAGTATTGTATCTCATACGGTTAGAATTCAATTACCATTGTTTTTTTGTAGAAACACTTTTTAAACGTTTCGTGGTGCATTCAGGGACAATCCTATATCATATAGCCAATGGCAGTTTGCTGAAAAGCCATGGAACTGTTCTGAAATAAATCATTAATAAGTAATTCACAGAAAATCATCACAATGTCCCTTTGATTGTGAACTTTGGTGGTCTCTTTCTCTCCATGTTTTTGGTCTGTCTCTAAAATTACTAAATATTAAGGCCAACAAAAATATTAGGTATGCAAAAATGTGCAGAAGATCATGTTGGTTTATTATTCAATGTTTGACTTGACTGAGTGCTGAATCCAACATCAAGCTCTGAAAACAAGCCAAATAAGTAATATTGGTTTATATTTTACGATGTCTGGATGCAATATAAAAAGGTGAAAAATATTAACAGGAAATCTTTGCAATAAGACTCGTCATAAAAAAATATATACCTGTATTATCTGCCAAACAAATATCATTATATTATAATATTCATCCGACACCATCCGGATCAGGTAGGACAGGTGAAACAGAGGAATCAACGGCTCGTGTTGTTTTACTTCACCTTTCACGTCAGTCACCTTCTGTCAAAGCGTTTTGGCCCAGATTCTATTTCTGTAGTTCAACTGATATCNCCAGGTATCAGTAGATGAGAATGATCATTATCTCCAGTGGATTAACACAACAGTAGCCTGCAGGTTTAAATGTGTTGTGCATCGTTTTACATAACTAGGTTTGTGTTAATCCACTGGAGATAATGATCATTCTCATCTACTGATACCTGGCATTGAGGCCATATGTTGCATATATATTGGTGAGTTCCCTGGAACAAAAGTGCATTTTGCATGATAGGTCACCTTTAAGTGTATCATATAAGGCAACAGAAAATGTGAAGAGAAGAAACCAAGATATTTAGTATCAAAAATGTGTCTTCTTAACTCACCCTTAACCCTAAGAATAGTTAAGTTTACAAATGCAGGTTTGGTTTAATACATGAATTAAAACCAAACAAAGGTTGTTTTTTTTACGAATCAGCTGTTCACCTACTGCATTACAAAAAAAAGATATTTAAAATAAAAAACAATAAAGTAGCCTAAATGAAAACCAAAAACAAAATTGAGGCAGTCTCTTGCTATACAGCTATGATAAATACATCGTTATTGAAAATGTACTGTAACACAGTAATCCTGCTAGTAATCCAAATGTACCAGTAAACAGGAATACACTTTTTGATATAACTGTAAGGAAATACAGTTACCTTATTCTATCCTGATTACATAATCCCTTTACATGTAATCTGTTACTCCCCAATGTGTACAATGTGAGATAATCGTAGTTTCAGTCCATATCTCTCATTGGACTACAGTGATATCATTGGATTATTTTTGTGTTTTTAGATATGTTTTAGTTTTTATATACATTTAAGAAGGGACAATGCACATTAATAACATGAACACTTCAGTCCATCATGTTAATGTGCCAGATTTAGCCATTCAGGTTGATGGCATTAAAAGCAAACATACAAGAGCAAATAAGGCAAAAACCCATCAGCACAATAAAAACACATCAAACACAAACGCTCTTACAAAAATAGAAATTGTATTTGTTCTTAGTGTCCTTTTTGAAATGTATTACCCTGATTGAAACGGAGAATTGTTTGTGTTGCAGGTATCATCGACAGCACGGTGTTAGAAACCCGACAGGTGGTGGCAGTGACGGGAGACGGCACCAACGACGGCCCCGCCCTCAAGAAAGCTGATGTCGGCTTTGCCATGGTAACCACTTCTTCATGTGTGCCACAGCTCTTCACTCCTCTGCTGCTCCAGTTAGCTCCACGTTATTCCCAATATTGAAAAAATAAATTCATTACATTTTTAAAGTAGCCATGAAAAAAGGTTTCTTCCCAAAACGTCATCCACGATAACTCTTAGTTTAGTGCCATGAAATCATTAGGAGAGCTGTGAAATGGAAAAATAAATCAATAAATACCAAGCCTCGGTGCTCATCAGCACAGCGGGGTCTCACTTTGCTGCCACGTTACTGAGACTGTTCTCCAAAGATCAACTCAGAGAGGGAGAACATTCTCTCTGTTATATTAGTAAATAATATCAGACATTATATCCATCTTGACTGAATATTATCTCTGAAGATCTTCACCTAAATCTTTGAAATGCAACTGAGTTTTATCCTATTTAATAATATGCATATATAGCTTTAGGATTAAGCTTTTCCTCTATTCCTGGAGAGGAATGGTTTCCAATCAATCATGTAAAATTATCTTTAAAAAATAAACTTTACAGTAGAACAACATACATTATTATATTTCTTGGAGCCTAACATGGTCTGTAAATAATAATTTATGACATGCTTTTAGACATTTAAGGGTGTCATTAAAACTGCAAAAACGGGTTTGTGTGCTACAGTATGAAGCTTCCGAAGGTTGTTCACTTGAGTTCAAATATTGTGGAAATAAAGACAAAGACCTTCATTTCAACTTTAAGCAGCAATAAAGGTAAAAAACTAATAAAAATGTACTCAACGCCATAAATGTGAAATGTTAACAGTAAGTTGTATAATCCAAATGATCCTTGGAAAAATAAATCTTAAAGGAGAAAATCATAAAAAAAGAATGAAATTGTGTTGGTTTCCAAGCTGACTTAAGAGCTCAAATAGTTGCACTGAACAAATGCTCAGCTAAGGTTACAGTGGATACTGACACATTAAAATGTGGAGGAGCTGAGTAGCATCAGCTGCCTCCTCTCTGTTGTTATTGTGACCTTTGTTTTTGTGAGGAAAGTCATCGGCACGCCAGTGTCCCCTGCAGACTGCTGAGCAGCTGCTCTGCGCTCAGACAACAGCTACTGTTCCTGAACACATCACAGAGGCAGCATGGGGATTTCAACCGCAGACCTTTCAGTGCTAAAGTGTCCCATTTGGAATATTTTCAGTTGACGCCCATTTGTCCCAGTGTAATTATCACCTGTTCTGCTGGAAAGCGGACACGATCCACCTCCTTCGGCAGAGACGCTGAGATTCACAATATGTTTTTTTTATTTGAACAAAACATACCTTCTCCTGGTTTAATGTACCAGATGATTGGGTTAAAAAAATGGTCCCTTCAAGCTTTGTACACTTAAGCTGCATTATCCTTTAAACCAGAGGCCCCCTTGTCAGGTTTTCTTTTAAAGGACAAACAGGTCAAATGGAGCCTCCAGTAATTTGTTGTTTTCTACATTAAATTGAAACATTATCCACTCTGAAGCCGAGCAGCTGGTGTTTCCCTCTCCTTGCGTATATCAGACTGATATACTGTAAAGGCGAAGAAGAATACTGATGAGTTGGTATTCCTGAGTCATATTAAACTCCATAAAAAAAGAATCTGAAACTCGTGAAATTGTGCGCAAACTAGACCTTATCTTTTAGGTTTTTTTAGGTATGAGATGATTACAACATTTTCTTGTGAGCCGTCATCGTATATTGTATTCAAGAGTGAAGAGTGATCTTCCCCCCTCAGAACTCACTACTCCTCAGATTTATCTTGCAGAAACTGGCATTGAATGATCGGATCAGATTATACTCTGCAATGGAGCTCTTTATCATATTGTAACAAGCTGTTAAAATTGTCTAAATTAGATAACACAGGATCTGAATTTTCACTTCCTGCTCCTTCTTTTCAGGGAATCGCCGGCACAGATGTGGCAAAGGAGGCGTCTGACATCATCCTGACCGACGACAACTTCTCGAGTATCGTAAAGGCCGTCATGTGGGGAAGAAACGTGTACGACAGCATCTCTAAGTTCCTGCAGTTCCAGCTGACCGTCAACGTGGTGGCCGTGATCGTGGCGTTCACCGGCGCCTGCATCACACAGGTAGGACAGCTGCACACTAATCAGGATAAGAAAATACTCAATTTATCCTCTGAGGGAAATCCTTTTTTAACCCTTACTCCAATTTGAGAATAAGATCAAATAAGATTAAAACATTGACACATTTATGTATACATAAGTGAACATAAAATGTATATTAAACTACAATATTTAACAACAATCAGTATGTAAAAATGTGTTTAATATGCTTTTCAATAATCTAAATAACCAGCCGGTTTAAACAAACAATACATTCCTTCACTGTGTTTGTAAGTGCGGTTCGGTCCCAGCTGTCAACATTGGGGTTATTATGGTAGTCCAAACATCATCATAAAATAATTTAATCATATAAATGTTCATGGAAATTATAGCATTCAACATTATTTCACCCTTTGTGCCTCTTGTTTTAGACTATAGTTGTGACTTCCTACACACAGAGTATAATATCAGTAGGAATACATTGCTAGTGTCTCTACAGTCAGTCACCTGGTTGAGCCAGATTTAGGGATGTACATTAAATAAGAACTTGAAAACAAGGGAAAAGACTGACCGGCTATTTTACAAACGATGGATTGCCACCGCAACAGAATGCAGCCGCAAGTGATGTAACATTTTTACAGCTTGGTGCAATTTGCTCCTTTCTTTTTGTCAAATCGTTATTATCTCTGTGGCAAAGTGTAAATGTAGCCTTTGCATCAAAGACACAGTTGGCAGAACAAAGGAAGAGAGGAAGAAAAATGAAATATTCAGATTGTGACCGACGGGGTGCAGAGGCATTCCTTAAAGACGCCCTATTATGTGTCAGGTTCATATTTGTATGTAGTGTCTCTCCTGTGACATGTCTCAATGCTTTAATGTTCAAAAAGCTCTTCATTGTTCTCATACTGCCTGTGCTGCTTCACCTCTTTTCACCCTCTGTCTGAAACCAGAGCCCAGTCTGCTCTGATTGGTTAGCTGGCCAGCTCTGTTGTGATAGGTCAACCGCTTAGAGATGTCCCTCCGATTTCACATACAATGTGTTGGAGCGCTAGCCAATAGAAGCACGAGTGTTGCAAAGTGATGTCACTATGTTACAGAATTAAACAAAGGAGTCCAATGGAAGGTGTCTCGGCTTTTCTTTTTAGGGTAGGGGAGAGGTTGTGTGAGAGGTTCAGTTTTCTTTATTTTTGACACAGGCGCGCCGGATTCATTTTAGAAGTGGGGGCCAAAAAAAGTGCGTGTGTATGGCCCAATCCCAAACCACGCCCTACACCTTACCCCTTACACACTCCCCCTCCGTGACGGAGTGAACTCCGTGGAGTGACACATGAGGCTCTCTCCTGTCAGATGGAGGGAGTAAATACAGCGGCAAGCTTTGGGACGGCCTCCCCTCTCTCCGGCAGAAACAGGAAATACCGTAACAACGGTTTCAAATCAGCATCTCTTTGACAAAAAATGTAAATTAATAACTCAAATAAAACTCCAAACATCTTTCATTGTGTTACTTTTTTGTAAAACTCTTTTAGTTTTAAACCTGATGTTTATAAGCTTCTTAGTTTTTGCAACAGTCTGTAAATATACACAACTTTATAATAAAATGCACACATTTACCTTTTTCTAGACTAAACACAGGTATGATCCTACGGTGCCTTGCTCAAGGGCACCATGGCAGGGCAGGAGGTGAACTGGGACCTCTCCAAGTAGAAGTCCACACTCCAAATGTAGGTCTGGTCGGGGACTTGAACCGGCGACCCTACGGCTCACAGTCCAAGCCTGACTGCCATAGATTTAGTCCCTAATTTTGCTCTCAAAGTGCACCAGATTGATGCATTTAACTTCAACATTTAAAAAAAAATCTTCCCGGGGGAGCTTGCCCCCGGACCCCTACGAGGA